ACTACGTACAAGAGACAACATACAATTTTTGTCTTTACAACATACAGACAGTTGATCATCGTCCTGAGTATCTCCGCGCAATCCCTTTGTTCCATAAATCTCTGTAAACACCTTAGGTGAGGGGTGAGTCACTGCTCATTGTGCATACAGAGGCGGAAAGTGGAATCCAGCCCTTGGCATCTGACAGCAGTTAAAAAATAATATTTTCTTAATTATTTTAGGGCCATAGGACTCAATAACGTTTTAAGGTGCTAGCCAACAAATCTACAGAAAAAAAATCACAGGTGTAAGGAAAAACAGTCTATCCACCATCTCACAGAGAATGCCTCTGTTTCTGGAGTCCAGTCTTGTACAAGCAGAGGATGCTTCAGGGGGCTGCCGTTGACATCCCCCCAGTGCGGACGTTAGCTCTGCTAGCTGGTCACCAAGACACCAGCTCAGGTTACAGTTATACAACTCTGGGATGACTTTTTTTTTGGCTTTGTGTCCACATCTTTACTGGAAGGGTAGAGACGCAGTTTTAACCCCAATCTCAGATGGAGGACCCAAAATGCCAAGTCTGTTCTGGGGTCTTCAGTATCCAGATCAATGAGGCAGCAGCCAAAGCCAACACAGGGATTTGCTGCAAAGTATTGATTTTTGGTGGTGGTGATCCCTCCGGACCCTCAAGAAATAATAAACCACTCAAACTGAAGCCTCAGAAAAAGCAACTGGTCTACAGGGCCTAAGGGTTTCTTGGTTTCATTTCCACCGCAAATAAACCTCAGGCAGCAAGAATGTCTACATACAAATACCAGTTGTCCCTAGAAATAATTTATAATATAGAATTCTGCCGTCAAGAAATGACAGATGGAAATAAATGTTTTTATTTCTCTTCAAAACTGACCATTGGTCAATAAAAAAAGCCTTTTTTTCTGCCTAGAACCAACTCTTCCTCCCTCAAATACTAAAAAATGGGAACTTTAAAGAAAAATGCACTTGACAAGTCATGTGGGTGATGGTAAAAACCCTGTAATTAGTATACCAATCAATTTTTAAAGGTTGCTGCAAAAAATTATGCCCAAGAACAAAATGTTTCTCTTCAAATTGAAATCAGTGCTTGTTAAACATAAAGAGAAATAATTGAATGGGTGTTTCAACTTTGATGTTTTCACATGGTTGCAGGTTGTCCCCATTGGATTTTGTTATGAATTATCATTTTATGGACCTGCAAGATCAACCTGTTTTTTTTTTTTTCTTTTTCTTTTTTTTTTTTTTTTTTAAAACTGTAACAGGGGAGGGAATAGGATTCTATCAGACATCAAAAGATAATGTCCTAACTATAAATGCTTGTGCTAATCAATCACTGAAATTATAAGCTTCATCGTAGACATATCGCAACGGAAAGACATACTAGCTGGGCCAAACTACCTGGCCAATAACAACCTGGAGGTGAAAAATTAGTAGTACTTGTTTATGAGTAGCATTTCTAAAAAATGAAGGACTTCACTTTGTCCTACCTGGTGAAATTGGAGCAGGGTAAATTAGGTCAGTCTTCAAGGGGACATGGACAGCCTTAAAGGTTCATCCAAGAGTGCTGGGATCTATACTTACATTATGTAGCTGTGTAGTATATTAAGGAGGCACGAGGGAACGAATTAAGCCCTGGGATGATAGTTATTGGAGAAATCCGGCATTAACATGACAAAGAGCAACAACGAAGACAGTTCCTCTGCCCTGGTCTCACTGGAAGAAGGGGTATCCTGGGGTATTCACACCCTCTGCGTGTCCACAGCAGTTCTCCTGATGGCTGCTTACTCGAGTTGCCAGAAGTACCAGGTTGACAGCTGCTGTTGGCTGCAACTCTTCCACTTGTTAGTTAAATAAAGCACCACTGACAGCATAAAATGCAGTTATATCTTTTATAAAAAATTAGATAAATTTAAACTACTGTACATGTCAAAATCACTAACCTCCAGAAAAGAGCTGACCGTAGTCTGGTCCATCTTGGTTTATTTATCTATTTATTTATTTATGCCCTTCCTGGATATATTGCTCGTTTGTCTGTTGATCAGTTTTTGTAAAGAACATTTTAAAAACACGCGCCTCAATTGCAAACAGGACTACTCTCACTCGCTCTCTGAAATCTATATCTAGTTTATTCTGCATATCATTTTTCATTAGCCACTGCTTTGTTTATTCATGACCTCTTACTCCAGGACTAGCACATAACGGCAGCAACATTTACATTCAGGGTCTGTGAGTGATTTACGACTCGATCCACAGTGGCCACGCACGCAACGGAAGGGCAGCCAGCCGGTGGGGGATTGGGAAGGAGCGCAACAGTCTCTTCGGTGCCATCGAGCGGGACAGTATCGCACTGAACAAGTAAAACCGCCAGCTTAGCAAAACCTGTGAGCTTCCAGAACAGCAGAGCAAACAGCATTAGTGGCAAAACTTGGAGGGAAGACTGAGCGAGCTCTTCTGCTCGTGCCCATCTTGGCCGCCTCATCTGCGTTGGCGCTCTGCACCGAGGCTGCCGGGTGCAGAGCTGCCGGGGCAGTGCCCCTCTGCACCCTGCTGCAGCTGGGGCGCCCATTTCGGAGGAGCGAGCAGGGGTGCCAGATGGTGGGTGCAGGGTCAGAGCCGCAGCCCCTGCCTCAGCATCCCCCTCCGACAGCTTTGCTGGTGCCTGCGTGCGGGAACACCACGGCCAGCAGGGCACGTCGGGATTTGGGAGTACGTTTGGGCTTACAGACAGCAGAAACATATCCTCAGGTACATACACCACTTCTGGTACATGCCGGAAGGACCCCTACGCTTGGAAGCGTAGGCAGGGTTTCTGCAAAAAATAGTCTCTGCAACTTCACACCACTTTGCATCAGTATATTCGCAGCTCGTGGGACTGACTTCTTTCTCAGCATCACAGATTTCATAGTGCTTCCAACAGCCTGGAGATCTGCGAGAAATATCTATGTCCCATAGTTTTTGCTTTCCGACTTCTAGGCAAACTAACAACAAAATTTGCGGCAGGAGTAGCAAGTGTGTGTTTATTTTGTAAGAGGACTACTTGCTGCTAATTGAAAACAAACATTTCCAGTGATGCAGCTGTTCCAGTATTGTGTAAATTCGTACCAACAGATCAGCATCACGTGAAGATCTAATAATCAGCTAATGAGCTTTACTTTTTGGAGTGCCCCCCATCCATTTCCATGTTTCGATAATTTCAAAGCCACATTGATATGTGCTGCCAGACAAGTCCTTAAGTATGCCCTCTGACAAATTTTAATAAAAACCAGAAAAATGCTGAGTTATCAGACTATATTAAAAACCTGGTTACACATATTTACTTTAACAATTTCCTTTTCTTTTCTTAAATAAATAGCAAAGTGTCACCAAAATGAATGGAATGCCTGCACCATTGAGTCGATAGAAATTCCCATACTCAGATGAATATACAGTCATACTCTCTAATATTGCATAAAAAGATACTTTGGAGGAAAGAATGTGGTTGCTGGTGCGTCTCACGTGATAGAAGCATCAACCTGTGAACAGTTCGTGCAGCAGCATCGTTATGTGGCACGTTTGTAAAATCTCACCGAAAGGAAGCAAGCGAGTGCATAACGGATCTCAGTGAGACTTTGCAAAATTACAGCTCGCAGGGTAACGACACAGAACTTACCGCCTACTAATAGTAATAATGCAGTGGATGGCGTAACACGAGGGGCTGACAGTCTCACTTTCTGGAGAGAAGAACACCAGTTTTAAGCACGGGAAACCGACAACATTAAAAAACAAACAGGCTGACCAACACTCATCAGGGCAAGGTATTCGAGAGTTAAAGCTGCCAACTCCTCCCTGAAGAAGGCGCGATGCAACGGTTACGTTTTCGTTTACAGAACCTGGCATCGCTTTCTGGACTGGTTTCGCTGGGCTGAGCTGGCTCTCTTTTTAAGCTTGACCAACAGCCTCTCTTTAAAGTGGGGCAGAGCTTAAAGGAAGAGCGCTGAAGGAAAATCGGCGACATCAGGTGCACCAGACCGATCCGGCAAGGCAAGCCCACAACAGCGTCTGCTGCCTTTGACTCGCTCCGCCGTGCCTTGATACGCTCGCTGCGCTGCAGCCGCTCGCAGCACGCGGCGTGCGCCACCGACCGGGCTGAAGCGCAGCGAGCGGCATCCCACCTTCCTGCTTCTGTTGGTTTAAATCAGACCCTCGTTACTTTAAACAGAGTTTATTGTATTTAATACATTATAAAATTTGAAAAAATTGTAGGAAAGCAGCAGATTCAAACCAGAGCATCTCTACCAAATATTAATTATTCTGGCCCCCTTTGAAAAGAAAAAAACAAAAACAAAACACAAAACCGAAAAAACAACAACAAAAAAACTCATTCAAAAGAAAAGTTAACCTTTCACATCTGTGAGGGCAGACAAAAAGTGTGCGACTTCTGTACAAACTACATTTAAAATTTCAGTTGACTAGCTTTCCAACGCAATGGATGGTCGTCTCCTGAACGCCTGCCCATCCACCTCTAAAAAGGACAGACATAAACCTCCATACGCAAATAAAGTTGAATCAAGGTGTACACACTAAAAAGTGGATGGCTGTTTGGCAATGGAAAATGTGTAAGAGTAGTCTACGTATCCCCCAATGGTAATGGCTTGTATACCGTTAAGTGGGCCCAAGTAAGGCCTAGGACACTTAATGGCCATCACAGCACCAACCTCATCTACCATTTGTTTTTGTTGCATTTCCTACCTTTTGACATATACATACATATATATATGTACATACATACATATACATACATATTTTATATATATATATATATGTTTTCTTTTACACCTTGAGGTTATTATTATTACTACTATTCCAAATGCTCCCACATGAATTCAGGTGTGGTCTCTATATTTGATATAAATGTGTCTTTTATTCAATTTTAGGTTCCAGGACTTGTTTGGAGTCCAAACTGCACATAAAACGTCCCCCTTGTTTTTTTTTTCCTTTCTTTTCTTTCCTTTTTTTTTTTTTTTTTTGCATAAAGAAACATGTCCATTTTAGTCCAGAGGCTCCTGCTTTATTCGAATGACGGAGGGTGCACGAGATGTCCTTCTGAGTTCTCGTCTCAGTACGTATTCACTGAATTGGGAAGAGTCCACCCCACCTCCACATGAGCCAACAATCTCAAACCCTCTTTGCTGTAACCTCTCAAGTACCTGCGAAAAAAGCAAACAAACACGTATGTATAAGTAAATAAACAGACTATTTGCTGTCCAAGGATGAAGACTGCCATTTTTAAATGGATCCAGCTAGGAAACAAAAGTTGTTATACAAATCCACGAACAACCTCTGCTGCAACGTCTTAACCGGGTCCCTAAGCTTCACCAGATTGGACTGATTTCTGCTGACTTTGCTGACAGAGCAGTAAGAAGAAAAATAGAGAAAAAATATTGTTAGTACTGTCAACAAACAGAGTATTTTTCTATCAAAAACAAATCTGAAAAAAAAATGCATTCTCTGCTTCACATTTACTATGCAAAACGGCAAATACAGGATTCCACAGCAGACAAAGGAGAACACTGAATAAATATCTAAACTACATAGTAATAATACAGATACTACAATCACAATTTAAGAAAAGTTACCGTTAGATTTTCCAGATGCTTAAAAACTGACAGGGATGGCACAGATTTGCGGTTATTCTGTTATCTGTGGTAAAACATAGGACCTTTTAACTTTAATTACAGGACTAAAAATCACGCTTACACATCTTTCCTCCCTTTTTACACCCTGAGCACACTTGCAGTGGAAAATACACTGGCACAAAAAAAAAAAAAAAGGAGTCAAGGGAACTCGAAAAGCCCTCTGTGGGCTTCGCTGATAATCCTAACAAGACAGGAAGGGCTTGTGAAAGAGCAAGAGGATCCACGCATTGAACAAGCAGATTCCACAGAGACCTCAGGTCCTAACATCAGTGCTAGGCTGGTAAGAGCATGCAGGTGCCAGATTTCTTTCCATACCACAATTTTTTTTTTTAAATTATCCTTGTTCATGCTCTTTTACCATAACTTCAGGGCTCATGTGTTCTTTCTCCTGTTTATACTCTTTGGTACTTTCATCTTCATATGTCTGTCTATTCTGCTTTCTGGGCTTCCTTCTCCTCACCTGCAAAGGAGACTTTCATGGCACGTCACCAGGGTCTGCTCAGGGTCTCCTCCCCCTGCCAGGGGAGGCAGACACTCACAGACCTCTCCCCAAAACTGGGATCCTGTCCAGCATGACTGGACTTCCCTGGGATTGCGCTGGGATTGGGTTTGTCCATGGGACTCCTCTCTGCCATGAGCAGCTTTCACTGCTCTCTGTTCACACATAGGAAGGCAGGGGGAATACCGAGTTTTTCCTAGCTATTTCACCAATTAGCAAATTGGCTCGCAGCATATACACTAGGACAGCAGGGGAAAACATAGTGGCAGAATATTGCAGAGCATTGGGGCAGAGGGAGAAGCGAGCTGTGGTTTAAAATGCCTAAAACTACAAGACTCGCCACGTTTTTACATGCATTGCTTCAGGTCGGCAAACATCTCTCCAAAATACCTGAGTACAGCTAATTACACAGCGGACAAATCTCAAAGAGGAGGAAGTGGGAAAAAGAGACTAGGAATTCATGAAAAAAGTAAATATCAGAATTTCAGTGCAGTTTCTATTTATCCCCATCTTTAGCTTTTAATCTTATAAGCCAAAATCCCCCCCCCAAATGTCTTAATGCAAGCTACTGAGAAACACAGCAGGAGAACTTAGGTTCTGAGAGAAAGTATGATGGTAGTAACTGGTTAGGAAACTAGCCTAGCCCTGGGAAAACCCTTTTGTCTGCACATCACTCTCCAGGACTACAAATAGTCCCTGTCCTATTGCACATTGCTATTAGGACTGTGAGGTGCTTATGTCCCCAAATAACGGAGGATGCATCAACAGCAACATAGGTACCATGGGATCATCTTCTCTCCTGAAGCCTGTGCATATTTTGCCACTCTGACTTCAGTTTCTCACATGAGTAAATATGCTTGGCAACTCTTACTGCGTAATTAAACATCAGGATAAATAAAAACTGCTTTGACAACTACCATAAGTTCTGCGGACGAATAACCCTCTTTGAAGTCACATCCCTTTTCAGTTATAATTCTGAACGTTGAAGGAAAGCTGAAACTTGTATTAGCCAATATGACAAAAACCCCTTGATGTTTCAATATGATAGTAAAGGCCATTAAAAAAAAAAGCTCCTCCGAGACACAACTGTCCAAGCATAACATGTGTTAACAGTATCTTGATAACATTTAGCTATACTGCTACACTACAGAACTGGCACATATATAATACCTAGGGAGCCCTCAGACCATACCGTAACGCTCAGCTCTTTTTCTTTGGCGTGAGGAGCAGAGCTTCTCTATCTGGATGGAAAGAGCTGGTAGGTGGAAAGACGTCAAGCTCAGTTTGCAACTCTTTTCTGTAAAAGACCTTACCCACGAGTCTAGAGCATTTAGTTGGTTATCTAAACCAAACAGCTTCAATTGCGCTAATGACAATTCCAGATTAGCACAGGATGTGCTAACTAGATGGAGACACATTTGGGGATTTTTTTGTTCTTAAACCAACACAGAGGACAAGATAGATGATATTATAACTTATAATCAGCTTATAATTCCACAAATTACTTGAACTTGTCTCCCAAAATTGTTCTCCTCCATTTCATATCAAATGTTTTTCAAACAACTGCTACTTATTTTATATATTGCTATATCCTCTGCTACGTCATAATCAAATAGGAAAAAATATTGAATGTGAAAGAGATCTTATTTCCTAAGGTCATAGAAATACAGATAGGTACCCATCTGCGATAAGCAGATATGTCATTGTTTTTATTACCTCACCGAGAAGGAAGAAAGAATGAACTGTCCTCACCCTAAAGTAGAAAGTATAAGGCAACGCAATAGGTCTATTCAAGAAGTATTAGGGTTTGAGGCACAGAGACCCCTCTACGTAGCTAAGACTCAACAGGTGCTGCAGAAAAAATTATTTTCCAGAAAATAATGTTTCTTATTTCAGGAGGAGGAGAAGGAGACGGTCCATATTTTCCCTTCGTGGAAGGGAGGCCCTCCTTGAGGAAGCGAATGTCTGAATCCAGCCATCTTTTTCTCATCCTAATTCCCCTTTCCCCTCACTTCTTTGCTTAATACCCTGAATGAGAGACTGGGACTTGACCTTTTTGTTCCTTTGCACTTCCTATCTAGTTTCAGGACACCTATGGACTCCCATAAATCAGAGCATCTCTGCTACCATTCTCAGCACGTGGAAGTTGTTTCCTTTGCAGGTGAAGGAAGGGACAGAGCCCTCATGCCCACAGAAGGATGCGACAGCTCTGTCAGGATGTGGCATCCATCTTCCCTCTTTGGCTTGAGATGTCCCTGTGACTTCCCATCAGTCCAGAAAACAATTTATAACAAGCAGTGCAAGGGACTGGAAGCAAGCTTGAATGGTCACCTTATATTCAAATGTCAAAAAGTGTTTCATCAAGTACACAATGTCTTTATATTCAGGTAAACGTGTACCTCCTAAAGCAGGTTTTTAACACTGCTGTAGTTTGTTTTGTAAAAAGGCATGTGAATTAAGTTGAGAAAGCAGCCCTGACCCACAGAATTAAATAAGTAGCTTAGAGTTTCAGTCTCAGTAGCTCAGAGATTTTGTTCATTCAAACCCTCCAGTGACAGAGACGCAGATCAATCCACTGGTACCCCATTAGCAAGCTCCCTTCTAAAAACTGCACATGTGACTTCCTACCTGAACTGAGTTGAGGTGACAGTATCCATTCAACGGAAATCTGATGACATGCGTCGAGTCATGATTCCAGCCAGCATTGACAGAATTACACATCACATCACCAATTTCTGGAAACACTTCTTCTATCAATGACTTATCACCACTTAGTGTAATCCTCTCTCCAAGATCTGGGGCAACGCGCACCACCAAGCACTCACAAGACTTTGAAAAGCGGCCAGTCTCCCGGTCCTGTTTCCACCTTTCCATTTCTCCTAACATGGGCTGAAGCTGAAAATATTTTGCTTCTTCATATAACAAACTGTAGTCCTGAAAGACACATACATTACTGTGCACAATTAAGATAGAGGCATTGCTAAGGCACCACATAATATCTACGGTTAGTCAGGCTAGCATTACTGTGTAGGAAGGTATAATAAAATAATAGTGCAAGCAAAAAAAAAAAAAAACACCCAACAGTTTGTTCACTTAACTTCCTTGTGTTATGGAATAATCCAGACAGTCACATCCCACCTTTTTCCAAATCTTTACCCCAATAGTGATGTCATAAAATAATGACCTCATTGAACAGATGGAACAGAATTCAATCAGGATTCAGCAAATCCATCACTAGGATCCATCGCATCTTACAGCGACACTAGCAGGCATAGTAACAGGTATAAGCATGTAAATGAGGGAGCCTGCAATGGTTCCAAGTGTGAAATGATTCAGATATTTGCATAATGAATTGCATATATTACTGCATTTTAAAAATTAAGTATTTTTTAATACCTCCTCATTTTGCCAACAGTATTGTTTACTACATTGTCTCAAACACCAGAGCAGAGAGAATGCATTTCTAAGCACAGCCAGTATAGAGGTAATTTTTAACTGATGATCTGTAGTTTGTCCACTGTCATATTTAAAAAAAAATAAATCTTGTTTTTCTAGGTTTAAGAGCATAAGACCATTTGGAAAATATTTATGCAGAGAAAAACAATACATGGGAAGGTAGAGGAAGGGAAGATAGAGGAATAGAATGACAACAAGGAAACAGTGGTAACAGTGAACATAGCACTGAATTTGAGCTGCAGACAGAATACTTTATGAGCACGGGATACCTGAATTATATTCAGAATACTGCTCTACATTTAATGCCTAACAACAACAAAAAAAACTAACATCAGTATTTCTAAGAAAAAAGGATCACCATTAATTTGAAACACTGATCTTTTGGACAGCTTAAAGCATAACTGGAAGGGACCCCTTTGAACACCATGTTGGTTGGGCAAACTTGCCAGGAGTTACATTTTTAATTTCAGTGCTGCTACAGTATATTTCTGTGTTTAAAAGGCTCTGCATACATGATTTGCTAATCCTATACAGAAGCTGTTTTTTTCCTTTTTCTGTATTTCTGATTACCTTTAGGACTAGTACTGAGAGTCAGCACAAAGCCATTCTAAGGCTTCAAAAGAGGAATATGATGCTTATCAGTATCAGTTTCTAAACTCCCACATTATTTAGGTAGGTCTAACCTTGTCACACATGGGAAAAAGAAGTATGCGTCTACTACGGATGATTCACAGATTGCTGCAATATAACTCTTAAGCTGAACCTAACACCTATTACGTCCCAAACACCTGAAAAGTCTGTCTCTTAAATATGAAGGAAAAAAGGCTGTACAACAGCGTAAACTGCTCTAACCCTTCCACATCACCTCTCTTGATCAATCTGAATTGCCAGACTTCCTACTGTGAACTAATGGCACAGCAAGCTACTTTGGTTTGCATTCATCAAGGCATGATAAAGATCTGATCTGATTGCAACCGTGGTCTCCAGCTCTCACTTCGCTGACACCACATATATACCCACATACGTACAAGTGGATAAACACAGAACATCACAACGCGTCTGAAACTCTGCCTTTGCAGGCTAGTGCTTGACATGGTGAATTATCACAAATTTAATTTGGTATTAAAAAAAAAAAACCTATCCTATAAAGTCTAAATATTAAATGTGGAAATAGTCATCTCCAACTTCTCTTCTAAAATTAAACTTCCAGCACATATTCAAGAGTTTAGGGAAAAAAATATTCTATGACCCAATGTTCAAATATTACCATGTGAGTAGTTTATTTTGTTGGTGGCATGATTTCCCCCATCACTGTCTCAATTTCAACCTGGGACTGGAAGCTGGAGTCACTGCAATCAGAGGGGAACCGCAAAAGATGGAGGGGAGAACCACTAAGCAGCAGAACTGATGAAAAGTCAGTTATAAATTGTAACATCTTTTCTATCCTGAACCAGCATCCTATGATATTTACTTTCCCTAGGTGAAATATGGCAAGGGTGCTCCATTACGTTATCATCAGGAGAGGAAGAGTTAGTATTGATGTCACCCCAGGAAAGGCTAACAGATATCACTTTAGCAACACCACAAATATTCCTTCTGCCCAGTACTTGAACTCAACCATCATATTCTAAAAGCTTCTCCTTTTTGCAGCTCTGCTTTGATTAGACTGTCAAATTCTTGCAAGGCAAATGCAAAACACTCAAGGCCCTTGAAATCTCACCTTGAAATCATCAGGAATGAGGAGTTTTGATGTTCTTAAAAAATTCAAGATATATCTGAACATTTGCCCATCTCTGTCGATGAAATAATGCTGCTTGAGACTGTCGAGGACAATGGGCTCTGTGCCATCAAAAAGCCTTCCGATTCTGCAGAGGGAAAAAAAAAAAAATAAAGGCAACGTCAAGGCCAGATCAAGCGGCGTTCAGCAGCGCCTCGTTCCCTCACTGCGACCGAGCAGGAGTGTTGTGCTGGCAAAGGCGAGAAGCTAAATGCATCCTGCAAAATCTGCACATTTAATAAAGTCCACCCATGCAAAAAGTCCCACCGACTTCACTGACGTAGCTTCTTGGCACCAATTCATAAGGAAAGGGCTACTTTCAAGCCACCTATTACTGTATTTCATAGCACAGCCTCAGAAACGTTTTGGTAACTCAGCTCGGGGGCACCTTGGCTGGGGAGAAGCTTCCCATGCTAGCTTTGCTGCCCAAATCCATGTCTTGCAGGCCATGGTTTGGGACACTTCTCAATGGCCTTTAGCTGACCCCAACCTTCCTCTGCACCAACCCCTCGACTGCTTCTGTCCTGCTTTCTGGGGGACTGCAGGCTGAACCTGTTTTCAGCTGAAAATTGCTCTGGAGAAAAGAAAAAGGTTACTTTGAATCCAGATTGGTTTTTTGATGCTCTTGACTGCAACCAACACTTGTACGGGCACAACTGAGGGGGCAGCACATTGTGGGAATAAGTAACTGGGGGTGCAAAGGTTATAATGTTTCACTGTGAGGTAGTGCTTTCACAGAAAAAAAAAAAAAAGCTCTGTGGCAGGTGTCTATTAACATGCTCTAAAAATAGGACAAATATTTTAACTTTGATAGAGACCACCCACCAACCGCCAGAACCATGCTGTCACACAGAGAGTCTTCATTTGCTAAAAATTCCTGTAACATCAACTGTTGTTAGATAAACACAATTTTTTTCTGTAATTGTTTCTCACAAAACCTGATTTAATTAGAGCAGTACGAAGAACTGGAAATCCTGCACAAAATCCCTGACATAGCATATGAAATATATGCTGCATTTTTTTGCACTGAGGTGTATGCAAAACACTCTTGAGTCACAAGAAATTTCCCAATGAAATCATCAGGAGCGATCGGTATGTTTGATTCTCTGAGTGTGTTTATATGCCCATATGTGCATGTGGAAGTACTTCTGATTCTTTCCAGCGCCCTGCCTCCAAAAAGCTGTAAACAAAACTGTCTCAAAAATAGCTCATGTTTGAGAATTCGCATGGGCATTGTGCATGAAATATTATTGACATTTTTGGACACGATTTTAGAGCCTTGTCACAACCTGTTACATTCTGCTATACTCTGCAGATTCTCTGTTTTCATTATTTTAATGAAAAGGGTCATTCATATGTAGCTTTTGTACTGATCTAACCAATCTGATGTGAAAACCAGCGTAATGAAATCTCTTCAGTATTCTAAAGAGTAACAGAGCAATGTTGCTGTGCATCCGCATGGACCTAACGATGCGGAGGCACTTTATTCCACGACTGCACTCAGCTTGTGGGCTGCCGCTGAGCAAAAGCCACTCTGCACCCACAGTCGTACCGCCTCACTTTGGAAATACGCAGCGAATCCAGGCAGACTTTGAGGAGACACGTATGCACGTAGCAGGTCTCTCAACAGCAGACTTGATAACAAATTTTGAACGGCGCACCAATCTCCTCTATTCTTTCTGACCAGCTGGGAGAAATGAAGACCGGGAAAGAAACAAAAGGCCATTAACCTCAGCTGGCCATTTACAATTCTGTATGAAACGCCTGAACCTTTTTAATTTGCATGATATCTGTAAGATATAAGGGATTAAACATGTTTCGTAGGACGATCGGGTAGAGCATATATTTCTCAAGGCTATCGCTTAGAACACTGCAAGCTTTCTTCCATGGCTGTTTGTTACTGCCTTCCCTGCTGCTCGAAATTTAAGACAGGGCATATAGTATAGGTACCTACTCACGAAGTGATACTCATCACTTACATGAGTATCACTTATAACCAACGTGCTAACACTCGCTATTTAGAATTTTTCGCTATACTCCAGCATGTAGTCTTGTAATCTATAAAGGGATCCACGCACACAAAAATATATATTTGGCTAAGTAAGTCATTACTGAAATGTATAATTGTGATTGGTTTCTGCAGCATTTTCCTACTTCTAAATTTCTATTACAATTACATTTTTAAACCTCCTAGGCCTTTTGCTTTCATTTTATTGTTTAGGAGAACAACAAGATAGTATCAGAGGATGGAGTCTTCTGACAAAATCAGAAAACTGAAAACTGCACGTGAACACTAGGAATGCAGCCTGGGACCTGAAAGTCATTTGATCTGGTCTGGAAGAGTTAAGAGGAAGAGCTGCCACAATGCGCTGTTTCTCGCAGCAACACCACCACCACCACCACCACCCAGAATTACAAATTCCCTTTCCATCCCCTCCTGACAACAATATTCAATTAGACTTTCAAAGGTTAAAACAGCTTCGGAAGAGTAGACTCCAAGCAGAGATAATACTGTAAGTAAAATTAAAGCTTGATTCCTTTTTGGATGAGAAACTGCAGATTGCGGCTTCCCTCACGAGGCCTTGAAGGAAAGACTCGTGATCATATGAGGACTGTAACCCAGTAAAACGGTCCTGCCCCTAAGTGGCATTCGCTACACCTGCCACCAGAGCAGAATGGGCTACGCCAAGATCAGGGGAAAATCTTGGCCCTGCATCCTCCCTCTGCACTCGAGGTTTCCTGGAAGCACAGAGGCAAACACTGCTGCGTCTCACCCTGCAAGTTTTGAATACAATAATGTCTGAATAACTGTTCTCTCCTTCACCCACAACTCAGCTTTTCCTTCTGCTTGGTCTCATGCTGAAATTACAAATGCTTAAGCGACATCAATCTGCTGGCATGAAACAGGACTGTGAAGTCATGTTTATTATAATTACACTTCCCAAGAAAGCCTGAAAGACGTTTTCCCCCATCTCTTTCTTGACAACTTTGGCTGATGATTGACAAAGATAACACTTTTTTTTTTAATGACAAATGTGTAACAGCTGAATGGATTTCCAAACAGGAAAGCGCTTTGAAGGCAGCTTGCAAAATAAGCAGATAATCATATGCAGAATTAGCCAAATATCAAGGGTAAAGGATAAAAAGCTGTAGTCCATTTAAAGAAAACGTACTTCTGAAATAGTCAATTAAAGCTAATGGGCTGGAGTTTTCTGTATATATGGAAAATTAATGTCCCATGGGTTGAAAGCGCGACCTCCAATGGGTAATAATTAATGTCTATGGCTTTAAGTATCATATTCCACCGTCAGAAATCAAATGCTTTAAGGGTTGAAAATACAACCACTGTAAAAACTCTGCTTCCATCAGAGAATTTGCTTTTACTTTGAGAACGTAAAACAGGTGCAACCTCAGACTTGGTGTTAGTGGGGAGAAAACAACAGGTCATGGAAAAGATCAGTGTTTTACTTCCATAAAACACTATAAGGATAATTTTCCCCACAGACCAGTGCTCACGTAACAGCACTTCCAGAATGAAAACCTAGCACAGGAAGATGACATTGCTTATAGGATTTCTCAAATTCTTCAGAAACCAGTTCTGTTTGTCAAGTATAAAAATACACTCAGTCTGCAGCAAAATTGTACACGTGGTGTGTTTATAAACTTGCCCTCTGAAAGTATAAACATTTATATGTATTACTATATATAGAGGGGGAAAGATTTTCCTTTAGTGCATTCTGCTTCAATTGACAACTTGGGGAAAAAACAATAATTAAGAAAAATATGGCCAATATCAATAAAAGTAGTACACTATCCCACAACTTCCTTAACACTAAGAAAAATGACACAGCCTGCTGATTATTTTAGTGGCTTCATTGGATATAGCAAAAAATTTTTCCTCTTTCATAATAAAAGGGATGCAAGGAACATGGAAAAGAAGCAAGCCCTGATGTCTGCAAGCATGCAGAATATTACATTACTTTTGATCTAAGGTAGAATGAACCTTTTTTTTTTTTCTGGGAAAATGCAGATTCCTTGTTAGGGAATATGTTCAGTATATTAATATCATTACTGTTAGCAGAGAACACTGCCAGCTCAAAAATGACTGCAAAAAATAACAAACCATTTTCAATAGTTCCAAGCTGTTAGCTTTCCCTTCTTTCTCTTTGTTTTTCATAAAACAACAGAAAGAGAGGAAAACACCTGGTCTGAAGCCCTTTCAATAAACTGACAGAACACATTTTTCTGCTGCAGGTGGAATAACCACCCTGCTACGGAGTTTAAAAAAAAAACAAAAAACAAAAAACCCCAGTACTTTAGATGAAATCTTACTCACCTGGCTGGAGCCACTGAGGCAAAGCTGGTAGGGGCTGGTCCTTAAAGGGTAAGCAAATACAAATTTTATTATCACATCATTACATTTATGTGGATAATGGGAATGCTTATTTAACACACTGGGGTGTGCACAGACTAGGTTGGAATACTTTTTTTTTCCTCTAAGCGACTTTTTAGTCCACGTTGTCCTTATTAATTTATTTTCATTTTCTTTTACTGAGTGCTTAAAGGCAATTTGCATAAGAGCCCATTATAAATCAGATCTTCTAAATGGTATGGCTCATCTCATGGCTATTTAATTTTACTTCCTCCTATGTCTAAATTATATAATTTTGGACTATCTTCTAGAAGCTAGTATGTTGGAGAGATAGCCACACCAGGGAGAAACACAGATAGCTATACTGCCTAAGTGGAGGATGACTGTAAGTTTCTCTTTATCTTTCAGAGGACCACTTTTAGGAGTAACAAGCTGCTCTTCGTTCCTGAACACCTTGTGTCATATGGATTCAGAGAGCCTGAATAGCTAGCAATATCTGTAATAACTCTGCGTAACAAAAGTTGCCTCATAAACGTGATATAACAGAATAAATTTGCCATTTTCAGTAACATAGATTATGAAAACAGCATTTTAACCAAATACCCTGCTGTAATCTCTTGCTCTCAGTGCTATTATAACTTGTTCTTATCTCTTC